CAGCCATCCACAATAGGTATGGCCGCGCTTTATACAAAAGGCAAAATGGGTAGCTGTTCAGGGCCCTAGATTCTAGTGTCTCCCCACCAAGCAGTCGTCATTATCATGAGCTCAAACTTCCTAAAGTTATTTCCGAATATCTCAAGAACATATTAGCGGAATTTTAGTCTATGTTACAATACTTTTCAATAATCACACCAGATATCAGTAAGATCGAGATAACCGATATTTCCGTGTTCTCAGATTTCAGAAGCTCAATTAATACATGAAACAAATAGCCACTGAATGGTCAAAATATGCAAACTGCCAATGTTAAATTATTTTATCCTTGAGGATTTACCATCGTCTTGGCTTTATGTTCCTGCAAATAGTCCTACACATCGTTAAAGATAACCGAGTAAAGTGAAACGAGAAATGGAAAGTATAGATTTGGCAGAGGGCACTGTGCTATACCCAGGGCCCAACATTGCTTTACTGCGGCCTTAACTTTTTCCTGTGTTACACGCTTCTGATTAAGTCATATTTACATATTTATGACATCTTCCTCATAACGTGACCTATTTAATAATGCAATAAAACTGTTATCAGTCTGAGAGTACAAATAACGTATTTAACATAAACATTACTTTTATTATGTACCTACGCTCTGAATGACCTTAAATTACTTTCAATGACGTGTAAAAATCACACAACACTAAGACATCAAAACGGAGTACTGGTTCAAGCATACAATTTTACGTTTGTGTGTGTATATGTGTGTAATATATGGTAACTTGAATCAGTGACTTATATTCGAAAACCCGAGAAGTAACTATACCTGAAAGATACCGTGTCTTCATGGTAATGATTTTATTTTCAAGCTAATGTTATAATTGAAACAGGGCTATTTTTTCTGGCAGATAAACGAGGTTCAACGAAGTGGGGGGGTTGACAAATGTAATGCCTCTGGTGAATACTACATGACACAGGTCATTCCATTATGCAGGGTCCTGTTCTGTATAGTCGGTCCTGCTTCATTTGCTTTCCCCTTGTATATATATATATATATATA